GACAAAAAAGTTCAAATATCATTTTTTGCAGGTAAACGTCCGGTCACCGCCATGTCACTCAGTCATATGCCAACCGGTGCATCCCACGTGGCAATTTAAGGGGTCAAATAGGCTCCTGAACCCGACAAAGTTGTTCAATTTGCCCCCTCAACCATTAAAAATTATATTGTATAAAATATTGACAAATATTTTAAAAAAAATAAAAAAAAGAAAATACAAATACTCCGTATAAAATAAGATACAAGTCGAAAGTATAAAATAGGGGGAATTTGACTTTGCACCCCACATTTTGGATGATATTGGACTTTGCACCCCATTTTTAAAAAACTTTGATTTTGCACCCCATTTTACTTCAAAATCCTTTGACTTTGCACCTCATTAAGAAATTTTCCTTCACAAATATCATATGATAGGGTGCAAAGTCAAAGTTTTTTTTAAAATGGGGTGCAAAATCCAATATCACCCAAAACGTGGGGTGAAAAATCAAATTCTCCCTATAAAATATTGACATCCTATTAAATAATATAATACGGATTTATTTACAATCTCGGTAAAATCATATAAAATAAACCAAAATAAATTCATTAGAACTATTTTGTTATTTTAAATCTAATTAAAAAAATAAACAACACATACATGTTTTTACAAAGTAAAATTAAATATGTTTTTTGTGTATTATATGTAATAACTAGTAATATAAAACATGTTTTATTTTTCTATTTTACAATTTATATTATGTTTATATTTTAGAGTTGTATTTTCCATTTCATATTTTTTAATATTTTTAATATGTTTTAGATTTATATGTACAACTACACACACATGCATGTGTGTACTTCGTATTATTTTCTTCTAGAATTATATACTATACTTCGTAGTATATGAAAAGTATAATACGAAAATAGCTACTACATTTTATATTATGTATTTAAAAATAATTTATTTTTCATTATATTTTTATATGTTTAATTTACCAAAAAAATAATAATAGTTTCTTATTATTTTATAAATATACATCTATATTTTATATTATGAACTTGTATAATATTTTATATTTGTATTTTCTATTTTTTAATTTCTTATTTTTTAATAGCACTTTTGACAATTTTTAACGGTTGAGGGGGTAAACTGAACAATTTTGTCGGGTTCAAGGGCCTATGGACCCCTTAAATTGCCACGTGCGATGCATGGTTGGCATCTGACTGGGTGACATGGCGGTGACCGGACGTTTACCTACAAAAAATGATATTTGAACTTTTTAATCGAGTTGAGGGGGTGAATTGGGATTTTTAGAGTTCAGAGTGTGAATTGAGCATTCCGGACGGGTACATGAGCCTATTTGACCCTTTAGCCTTTTTTTTTGTCACTGGCTTATGTAATTATGAATTATTCTTTTATTTAGTAATGAGATTTGTTACTTTTTTTGGAACAATGAGATTTGCTACTTTTTTTTGGAACAATGAGATTTGCTACTTGAATATGTGTATTCTTTAATTTCTTTTTATTGTATGTTGTTTTGTACAAATTTTTGTAATAGATATCGTATTATACACGTATACGTATTTACGCGTTTTTTAAAAGTTAACATTTATTTCAACGAATTTTGACAATTTTTTCATTCATGTTACCGATTAAAATGTGTGCGTATTAAACCCGTTTGATTCCCATACTTGCTACTCATACATACAAACATTTTTTATTTATATAAATATTAACAAATGAAATTTAATACTCACTCGCTCCTCAATATTTTTTCAAGTTTGACTGGCACGCAGATTAATAAAGTAAAAACTGTGTGATTAAGGTTTGTGCGAAGGAGAGACAATTAACTGGAACCACAAATTTTTTACTTAAAAGAGAAAATGACAAAGTTAGTGGGACATTCATAAAAAGAAATATGACAACGTTATAAAGAACGGATAAAGTAGTCCATAGAAAAATGTTTGAGTTCTCAAAATCAAAACAATATAAACTCACTCCCAAAAGCCTAAAGTCAAAAACCAAAAAGTAAATAAAGTTTGGTCCCTACATTTATAAATAACTCATGAAATGTACCTCATTTTCAACGTGAAGGTTGCTATCAGCCTTACAGGGGGAGGGAGGGCCTACTCATCAATTGGACATTAATTTGCATTTTCAAATGATATATGGCGCTATGGTGCATGATTGTGCTTCTAGATTTCAAAATGGCGTCCATTAAGGATGTTTTCTTTTGGACTGTTTTCAGTCCCAGACCAGACTTAAACAGACCAGATCAGACCAGACTTAAACAGACCAGACCAGACCAGACTTGGATAGTTATAAAATACACAGAGACTAGACGTTTACCAGACCAGACCAGATCAGTTCAGACTAGACCAGACCATACTTAAACAGACTAGACCAGTAAATTTCAGTCCAAAAGAAGACATCCTAATTTGCTGATCAACGACCCTAATCCGCGTCGATTAAACAAGGAGAGAATGCCTCATATGAGACTAAAACATAGCATATGTGCATAAATAGAACATTACATTTATTATTCCCTAAATATGACTCTTTATTACTGATTGGACAAAATTGTCCTTAATGAAATAAACATCCGCATTTGTATCAATGCACCTCCTACGCCGACACAACCCATACCTTTTATGCCAGCCACCACCGCCAAGTCTCCGCCGCCACTGCCCAGCAAGGATGGCGCCGTCACACTACCTAACGAGAACTTAGAAGCTGCCGCTAAATTCTCTCCTGTAGGTGTCAACATTTTTTATGTCACAACTACAACCTCTAGAGTTATGTTATTGATGTTAGGTGAAAATGCCATCATGATAACATCAATGGCAAAATATGGCCTTTAAAGATGTGAAAACATGTCGTTTTCAGATTAAAACATGGTATTTTCAGATTAAAAATTTTGAGATTTTTATATTGAATTCAGTAGCAAATTAATCATACTTACTTCGTCTCATTCAGATTTGCCAAGTAACCCAAGTTGATGTTGAATGTGAAATTAGAATAGTAAAAATTATGTGGTTGAAGTTTGTGCAGAGAAGAAGTGAGAGAAATGAACATAGCCACAAATCATTGTTTAAAAAGAAAGTAATCGAAAAAGTTTTTTGTGATCAACAAAAAAAGAAAGTTGACAAAGTTCAATGGAATGGGAAGAACTTTTTTAAAATGAACCATCACTATTTCCAAAAATAAAAAAATATGAACCACCACTCTTATTTTAGCATTTTTTTCCTTCTACAAAGATTAATTAAATTTTACTTTGAAAATAAAACACATCTACATCAATTTTTGAAATTTATCCACGTTCCTGTCGTATTTTATTTTTAATTCAGTCCTAGGTTTTGCAATTACAAGGCGGCCCTGTATTTTTTGGATTGGGATCCTCTGCCCGACTAGGACGGTGCCTTGCGCATCGGACGGTCGGGCAGTAGCAAAGCAGGCCTCGAGATTAGTGAATAAGTGGAGCCCAAGATCTCCGACCGTTGAATTGTTGATCGGACGACCCGGAAGAAGCAAGACACCCTACCTTACTTTAAAGTAAGGTAGAGGCTCCGGATCCGTATTTTTTGCTCCCCATGTTAAAAAAACTATAGTTCTTAGTGGTAACAACTAACAATGATGGTTTTCTCGACGACTTTTAATATGTCTAGAGAAATGCTAGAGGTACACGTTTTGTGTACACGTTTGGTGTACACTTGTCTGTCCTTCACAGACAAATTGTCTGTCACAGACAATTTGTCTGTGAAGGACAGACAAGTGTACACCAAACGTGTACACAAAACGTGTACCTCGAGCATTTTTCATATGTCTATTATCTAACTCACTTTGGGCTGATTCAAATTGGCTAAATCGACTAAAGCTATAGAACTTTATAAGATTCTGATTGAAATTATTAAATTAACTCAATTTAATTTGTTGAACTATAAAAAACTTGGCAAAGTTTTGAGGGACGGAGGGAATATATAGAATACATTTTATTAATATATTCAAGAAAAAATTACATTATAAAATAACTAAAATTGTGTTTTATAGTAACTTTAGTCAATTCAATAAGGAGAATAACTTCAATCTTATTTATCTTGATTATTACCTAATTCAGCGCACGAAATCAAGAATTACGTGTTTAGTGAAAAAAGTTGACTGACAAACTCAAAATATGAGTTACCGGCTCTTTATATTTTGCATCCAACTCAAAACTTACGGAAAGAAACTTAAGATAATCACCATTCACCATACTAAAACTAGTGTGAAATTTGAAAATAAAAGTGTTGTGTTTTTTGTATTAATAGGAGTAACTTTCTGTAACTCTAACATTACAAAAAAAAATAGAGATAAGGGTCAGATAGGGTCTCGAACTTGAAAAAAAATGTCAAATAAGACTATATTTAGGATGCTCTGTCCGGCCGACGCCATTTGGGGTGGTTCCCGGTAGAATTTTTTGATGAATTTTTTTGAGAATCTTATTCGTTAAGTCTACTTTACTCATATCAAATTTGAACTAAAACTTTAATCGGGAAGACATTCAAATAAATTCTTGAAGATAACTATACCGTTAAAAGCACAGTTATCTTCAAGAATTTATTTGAATGCCTTCCCGATTAAAGTTTTAGTTCAAATTTGATATGAGTAAACTAGACTTAACGAATAAGGTTCTCAAAAAAATTCATCAAAAAATTCTACCGAGAACCACCCCAAATGGCGTCGGCCGGACAGAGCATCCTAAATATGGTCTTATTTGACATTTTTTTCAAGTTCGAGGCCCTATCTGACCCTTATCCCAAAAAAATACATACTCCGTAGTACGTAGTAATACTTTTATTTTCTAATTTACGAATTTATTCTTATTTAGGATAATTTTTATAATTCCAATGAAATTGTTCACGATAACTAGCTTACAAGCTAGTAAAAGATAATCACCATATAATAATTGCTCTCTAATAATTTCTACTATTCAGTACAATTGTCACATTATAATAATGTAATGTAATAGTCTCTTTTCCAATCTCACTCAATAAATACACTGATCAATTATGTGACTTGAAGCAACTAAAAAATGGAGATAGATGGTAAGAAGAAGAAAAGAAATTTGATTGATTATCTCTGTATTAAGAAATGGGTGTCGATCTCATCCTCCTCAACGTCTTCATCGCCGGAAGCTCTGTCCAACGCCGACAAGAAGATGGCTGCCCCAAGAAAACCGGGCGGATGGAAAACCATGCCCTTTGTCCTAGGTGTCTTTTTTCTCTTCTTCTAATTTATTTATTTTCTCTGTCTTAGGCTCAACTCTTAGCTAGATTTGTACCTAATATATTTTGATCAACTTAATTTTTGTTAAATTAATTGAATGTCGATACAACTTAAATCCCGAACTGATAATGATTCGGTATCTTAATTAAAAAGGACGGTCGTATTTACTCACCAAACTTCAATCGTGTTTGCTAATAATAAAATTGGCTGATTTGACTGATTATGCTAAAATTTATGAAATTATTGTTGAGATGATTGATTTGTTGATTTACGAAAAAAATTATTTTAAACTATTTTTATTAATAAAATAAAGAAAAAATATATGAAAAATTATCTAAAATGATTCTCTACAGTAATTTTAGCGGTTCAACCAATACAGCCAGAAAAGTAACTCTAATAATACTTGTTCTTATTATTACACAATTCAACGCGCCAAATTAAAAATTACGTGTTTGGTGAAAAGGTTGGCTGATAAGCCTAATAAGCCAAAAAACAGGGATATCAAACGGGATCTAACTATAAATGAGTTTTGGGTGACTAAATGAGTAATATTATACGGAGTATAATATAATGACATTAAATAAAATTCTATTTCTGACCCATAATATAATGTTACGATGATATTAGACACTCAAGAAAAAGGTAATAATTTTGAATCCCATCTCAGTTCAAAAATATAGATGTAAACATAAAAAATACGGAGTACTTGATTTGTTATACGGAGTAATAAGTTAAGAAGCTCAAGCTAAAAAAAATTAGTGTTAGCTAAATTTATCTTTCCGTTGGAATATACTGGTTGGCTTGTTGCTTGACAATTTGACTTCACACATATTAAGAAAATAAATATGACTTTACTGTGGAGTGTATTGTTTAGCACTGTTTGGACACTGTTTGGCACTGTTTTGCACTGTTTTGTTTCCTAAAATGGAAGTGCGAACTTAAATAAGGGACATCTCGAAAAGGAAAGTGAGAACATTAATAAGGACCGGAGAGAGTATGTACGAGTATTATGAAGACCAATTTGAGAGATACATCTTTGGTCTGATGTGTGCCTTGCAATTCGTCATGTTTTGGTTGGTGTTACATAGGATGTTTTTACTTGGATTGTAATCTGCTGGTCTGGTCTGGTCTGATCTGAACTGGTCTGGTCTGGTCTAGTCTGAACTGGTCTGGTCTGGTCTGGTAAGGTTTGGTTTCTTTGTATTTTTATAACCATCCAAGTCTGGTCTGGTCTGGTCTAGTCTGGTCTGCACTGGTCTGGTCTTGTCTGGTCTGGAACAAATTACAATCCAAATAAAAACATCCATAGATTTCATTTATCTGAGGAATCAGTTCAGCCCAGCTGGTCGCCGACTCATTCTTCCTTACGAAAGGTCTCGGATTCGAAACTCAATGGAGTGAGTTTCAGTCCAGATTACTCCAGGCTCCCCCGGCCCCCTCCCCTAGAAGGCCACCTGGAGTAAAAGAACATATATTTCATTGATCTTAACTGTTACGGAGTATAATATTTTTAACAAAATTGGCCCAACCCAGCTCAGTTGACATGAAAATCAGAGCGATTAATGGAAAATCCAGAAATGGGCAAAATTGGAAAAATCTGGTCGAGACAAAAATTTGTAAGAAAAATATGGTTTTTTCTAAAAATAGGACCAATTAGTTTAAACATCATTAAATAGGACTTTTTATATGTGATTGGACCAAAATACCCTCACTACTGCCCCTGGACTGCTGCCGTTGCCAGACCGCCGCCGCCGCCGGAAAACCTCCAGGTCTTTTTCCTGACGGTCTGCCAGCATTTCTGTCACCAACCGCCGCCAGAGTTTGCCGCCGGCGCCGGAATCCGCCACCACCACCGCAAACTGCCTTGGTCGTGCAAGGAATCTAGGGGGCAATTATTTAGGTCAATTAATTAATTAAATAGAATTAGGGGTAAAAAAGATCATGTTAATCCTATTTAAGGAAAAATATACATATAGTGCTATTTCAGGAAGAAGTTTGAGTTTTGATCCTATGTTGGACATTTTTTTGTTTAAAATTAGTTGCCCCCGGTAAATTATTGATGAATTTGTAGGGTCGTAGGGAGTCATATACAATTTGTAGGGCCAGTCCGGTACCTCACAGTAACGGGCTGGGCCAGGTACCGGGTCGGTCCGAACCGGCCCATTCCATGACTATATACAACTCTATGAAATCACTCTAGCCCAAACCTGGTTTAATTCAATTAAGGTAATATGTAATCAGTTTTTGTATCATAAAATTGCAATCCCGAATCCATATGAACAAAAAAAATTCATATATTTATATATTTATTTTGAAAAGAAAATAATGTCAGTATTATATTATACAGAGTAGATGTGCAAAATAATTACCAAATATCATTATTGATTCAAATGGGACTAAAATTATGAGCCCGTTTGGTAGCACCAAAATCGGCTGTTTTGGCTGATTCTGCTGAAATTTATGATATTCTGGCTGGAGTGGCTGCTTTGGCTAATTCTGCTGATTTAAGAAAAAAATATTTTAAAAATATATTTTATTAATAAATTAAAGAAAAAATTATATGTAAAAATAGCTAAAATGGTCCTCTACAGTAACTTCAGCCAATACAGCCAGAAAAGTAACTCCAACCTTACTTTTTCGGCTTATTACACAATTCAGCGCGCGAAAGTAAAAGTTACGTGTTTGGTGAAAAAGCTGGCTGATAAGCCTGATAAGCCGAAAACAGAGTTCTCCAAACGGGCTCATATTTGAAAATATTATGTGTTTTTCAGTGCTTATTTCTCCGTATGAATCATCATAAATTGATTATTGTAAAGCTTGATAGATTCTAATTTTGATTTTATATATAATTATATGCTTATATTAATATAAAATTATATTAATGTCTCCCCTTCTTGACCGGGCAGTGACTGGGGGTTACCGGCCAAGTCACATGATCGTATCGCTTCTTAATCTAGTTCATAAAACATTCATCTTAGAATATTTTGGTTAATTTAATATACGTTCTTTCTTTTCTTTTTTTGATCATCAAACCGAAAGGTATATTAAATCAAAAGATCATTAGTCACATGGCTAGAAATACAATCAAGAATACACTCAAAATTTACCCGCTGACTGGGGGTTACATGCCCTTGCAAGTGCATGAGTCGCATGATTTATAGATATTTTACAAAAAGATATATCAAAATTGTTCTTCGTTTCTAAAATCTTCCTAATATCATTCAAAACCAATTGTATACGGAGTATAAGATAAACCCGTCGTCTGCTTGAAGCCTTGGACCGCCGTAAGTGCATCCGTCTCCGTCTCCGTCTCCGTCTCCACACTCTGCCAGCCTGCCTCTACTGCCCCTGGATAACATCCCGAACTCCCAGCACTTCTGTCCCTTCAACCGTCCATTCAGCCTTATGTGAGACCCCCTTTGCCCATATAAATTCTCCTTGCTCATCCCTAACAATCCACCGCAGACTCTAACTCCTCCAACCTGGTTAACCGCCTCCACATTTATTTTAACAAACCCTGGTTACGCCTTCCTCCACCGTGTATCTTCAGTGCTCCCCACTGGTCCTGCTTCTTTCCTTCTACAACATGTTCCTCCCTCCAATTTTTCATCATGGTGGCTGCCACGTTGACGACTCCACCCACATCCTGTTGTTGATCCTTCCAGACCACATTTTTTCTCCGTTTCCAGATGCTCCAAAGAATCGAAACGAACCTACCCCGAGCTTCCTTATTCGTTATGGATACATCCTGCCGCAGCCACTCCTTGACAACAACTCGATCGTTCCCAGTCACCACACCCGCAAGCTTCCAGACGTCCTCCACCCAAGGGCAATCCCGTAAAAGCATGCCCAATTTATTCCTCCTCACTACCACACACCTTACATCCTCCTTGAATGCTCACTCCGTTTCTTCTTAAGTTATCCACTGTGGGTAGAGTACCATATACCACCTGCCAAACAAAATATTTAAATTTAGGTGGTATTTAGAGGTCCCAAACCCGTAAGGATTAAAGTTATAGGATCGGGATTCTCTGCCTAGCTTTGGCAGCCAGGTAGGGTGCGTGGATATTACAGCCACACGATTCACTCTCCCTTTTTCCGCAGCTCTGTTCTTCGTTGTTGCTTGCCGTTGGATTGCCGCAAGGCACCACTGCCGTGCGGCATGCAGAGGATCCAAATCCAAAGTTATACATGTATTAAGGATGTTTTCTTTTGAACTATTTTCAGTCCCAAATCAGACCAGATCAGACTTAAACAGATCAGACCAGACTAGACTTAAACAAACGGACAAGACCAGACTTGGACATCTATAAAGTACACAGAGACCATACATTACCAAACCAGAACAGTTCAAATCAATTCAGACTGGACTTAAACAGACCAGATCAGACCAGATCAGACCATACTAGCAAATTTCAATAGGGGGGTCTATTTTGAGGATAAAATTACATCAAGGTAAATGATTAAAATTTAGTGTAGATTAAAAAGGTTAACAAAAATATATATGCTAAATTGTTAAAAGAATATTAATAGATCATAATAGACCATACACGACTTAATAAAATATTATAAAATTCATTCTTTCTTCTTCTACTTATTACTTCTTCTTCTAGAATGTTTTCATTTGTACTTATTTCAGTCACATACCAGATTCAAATAGATCAGAATAGATCATAAACGACTTAAATAGATCAGATCAAATCGGGCCAAACTTCGACAGTTGCAAAATACATATAGATCATACTTCTACCAGACCAGAGCAGACTAAATCTGATCAGATTTAAACATATTGGACTTGACTAGAAAATTTTAGTTCAATTAAAAACATAGTGTGTAGCTTTTAATCTTGCATTTAATTAATTTTTAGGTAATGAGACATTTGAGAGGCTATCATCAAGTGGGTTAATGGCGAACTTCACAGTGTTCCTGTTGACAGTATATCACCTAGATCAAGTTTCAGCTTCCAATTTGATGAATATTTGGTCAAGCCTTTCCAACTTCGCCCCGCTGTTGGGTGCCTTCATCTCTGATGCTTATGTCGGCAAATTTTGGACCATTGCTCTCTCCTCCGTCGCTCAAATTTTGGTACATCGCACTTTCTTATAAGACTAGTTTTCTACATGCGCGTTGTGCAATGAATAAAATGCCCAATGATTTATTTTTTGAAAATATACACATTAGGTGTTGATTTGATATGATTACTTTAAGTTTGTAACATTTTTGGGGGAGGCCCAAAAATAAAATTAAAAAATGCAAATGCACATACGAGCTAGCCCCTATTTTTGTAATTTCAAAAGAAAAAGTATCACTAACATTGTGATAAATATCTAGTACATATCTAAATATTGTTGGCTCACATTCGATCTAATATAATACCTTCACATGATAATATACGACATACGAATGAGAGGTACAATAAAAATAATACGTAATTTAAAATTACTTTTAATAATATCAACTATCTGAATCTGAATATATAACAAAAGTGACATAAAACAACTCCTAATTAAAAATTCAATCATTTAATTCATCAAAAAGTAATGTCAAAATATTAAATAAATGATCATATTATATTGTCAACTATCATTTATTTGATAGTTTGATATACGTTTTTGATGTCTTAAATGATTGAATTTGTAGTCTAAAAGTGGTTTCATATTATTTTTGTTCTTTATTGAAATAGTTGATATTATTAGAAATCATTTTCAAAGTATGTATTATTATTGATTCATTCAAGATAGTTGTTATCGGAAAAGTGCTTGTGCTTAGGAACAAAATCGGGGCATACTAAGATGAGAAGCGGTTATTTTTTTAACAAAATATTATACGGAGTAATTTCAAGATACACTTTTATAGACCTAAGAAAATGTAGTGGAGAATGATAGAAAGTAAGAAGTATACTTTCTTCTGCACGTTTGTAGAAGAGTCCATCTCCTTTCTTTTCTTTTGACACTCATTTCCTTCTCACTTTACCTCTAGAACATATTACTCACAAAACTTGTAGCTCAGGACTTAAATAATCCTTTTGATAACAATGAAATTGATTGAGTTGACATATTTTGTTAAATTTTATTAAATTCTGATCAAATTGTCTAAATGTGTCGAATTATAAAAGCATATACTTTACAGAAAAATAATTACAATAGACTTTTTCTTCTAATTTAGTATAAAAGTGACACCAATCTAACAATAGCCAATTTAGCGTGTTACCAGTATTTGATTAGTATGATAAGTCAAAATAGAGGCTGAGAAACAAGCTCAAAGTATTTACATTACTAACATAAAATAAACTTGTAACAGTTTTAGTAGTAATCGTTTAATACTCCCTCCGTTCAGTTAAGATAGTCTCATATTTCTTTTCTTGTCCTTCCACAAAGATTGTATTATATCAAGTTTGGTCATGTTTGTGTGGTTTAAAATCATTATTCTTATTTTATTTTCACTTTATCAATTCAATATCAATAACATAAATTCACTTTTTGGGTAACCACACCACTTTCTCTTGTACTAATGTTACGGGAAAGAATGTAGTAGCAAATGAGGTAGATTTTCCTAATTAAGTCACCTATCTTCCTCAAAATTAATTAAGAGTCCATTTGGTAACTTGTTTTTCAGCTTGTTAGCCTTATCCATCAATATTTTTATCAAACATATAATTTTTTATTTGGCAATCGTACAATAATCAAATAAGGATTATAGTGAATTGAATGCACAACCTGTATAAAAATGATGATAATGATTTCATAATTCAATACTATTAAATTATCCTTGTTCTTAAAATTAATGCTCTGTAGTAAAAACATAAGTAAATAATTTTAAAAAAAAATAAATAGTGCCCTTACACGGAGGATAGACAAACGTGCATCTACCCATATACTCTGTATGATATATTTGTATCGACGATTCGATCGCAAGTATGCATAAATTAGAATGTAAAATCAAGTGATAATTAATTTAATATTAAATGGAGATTTATGCAAATGTTAACGGTGATAGAGTTAGGGGAAGGAAGGTCTCGACTTCTTAAGTTAACAGAGCAGACTTCTTAACTTAACGGAGCAATTAAGAAACATGGGAAAATGAAAGGAGAGTATAAAGTGTAAAGTGTAGTGTACAATCACTTATTGCTATAAAGTTTCACCAACACATTTTTCATACCTAAAAGGCCCTAACTCTCATTGGCCTTTATAAGAAAAAGGTTCAACAGTGACTAATTAAAATACTTCTATATTAGCCTATAAGGATTTTCCATCATTTGTAATGGAGCCAAAGATTCATAATTTTTTGGCTTGAGAATATGATGGAATAAAGCAAAATGACCCACCAATTTGTCTGCTATTCTTTGTTATGAAGCCCCAATCAGTCCATACAATTTAAGACGCGATTTTCATTATGGGTCATCCGGAAACAGTCTCTCTGTGCTATAGTACAGGGGTAAGACTGCGTACATCCGATCCCCCTTACACCACCGTAGGTGGGAACCTTTGCAACATTGGGGTAAATGATGATTGATTAGCCTATTAGGATGCATATTGTCCATTATTTGTATTAAATGTTTCGATCTCTTAGGATGTTTTCTTTTGAATTGTTTGCAGTCTCGAACCAGATTAGACCAGAGTAGATCAAACCAGATCAGACAAGACAAGATTTGACTTCTGTAGTTATAAAATACATAGAGACCAGACATTTACCAGACTAGACCAATTCAGACCAGACCAGGAAATTCCAGTCCAAAAGAAAACATCCTTAAAAGTTAAAACAAGTTCCTACTTTACTTTTTGGAACTTCTTTAATAAAGTCATATTTCCTTGTTTGATACACGAAGTTATATCAAATTACTTTATTACTCTTTAAGTAACAATGCTTTTATAGTGACAAACCATGTTCAAGATTATACACAAAGTCAAACACTACAAAAAAAATACGGGATTTGCACAAAATTTGGCAAGGGTTACCGATTTTTTGTGCCAAATAGCTCGATCCAAAGTCTTTTTGACACGGATTTTTGTATAATCTTTGATTCTTTGACAAAATCTTTGCCAAAATCTTTGCCAAAATCTCTGTCAATCCCGTTTTCTTCTTGTAGTGAAAAAAGTGTATATTTTACAATAAAAATTGTATTTTAGGAAGTTAAAGAAAAGGTTTTGTTTTCTTAGAGCATCTCCAATGGTATAATGTGCACGGTGCACACGTGGCATGAGAGATAGTCACATAAATATTAGTAAATAAATTCTTTCTCTCCTTATTTAAATGATTTTATACAGTATTGGTAAGTTTTTCTCCACAATGTCAAGGAGACCGTCTAGATGTTGACATTGTTGTTGACATTGCAGGGAAAAACTTACCAAAGTTGTATAAAATCATTCAAATAAGGAGAGAGATAATTTATTTGTTAATATTTATGTGGCTATCAATCATGCCACATGTGCACCGTGCACATTATAGCATTGGAGATGCTCTTAAAGTGTGATATTCAAACCAGTAAGTTTTTAAAGCTGTCGGAAGTAGTAATGTATTTTAAAATCATGAATTAAATATTTAGCGTGAAAAAGAGGGGCGGGGGGAATCTAACTAAAACCTAAACTTTATAACTAAGGATGTTTTTACTAAGGATGTTTTTACTTGGACTGTAATTTGCTGGTCTGGTCTAGTCTGATCTGGTCTGGTCTGGTCTAAACTGGTCTGGTCTAGTCTGATTTCTTTGTATTTTTATTATTATCGAAGTCTGGTCTGATCAGGTCTGGTCTGATTTGGTCTGAACAGATTACAGTCAAAGTAAAAACACCCTAACACACATATAACATATAACGTCAACTCATCCATTAACAAAAAAAACACAATCAAACTCATTAAGTGTAGGCAATGCTAGCTGTTTTTTATACGTACAAAATTGCAACACATTAGACTCTGATATCTCAATGTTTTCTTATAGGACTCTAAGAAATTAAAAATTAGTGCAAGGGCAATGGTGGTGTGTGTATATATAATGAGAATGACGTTTAACTTGAGAATCGCAAGAACACTACTTTTACCTCAATGTGATACACTAGCTATAACGTTTGTCCTTCACTTTTTCAAAACATAACAACATCAAATAAATATAGTGGCAGTTTTGTAAATATTTCATTAGCACGAAAAAGTGTTAGATTGTTTGGTACAAGACTTAAATGTGGTGTTCCCATGGTACTCACATTAAGCGCTCTCATTAGAGCGCACCCTATAGTGATAAAATATGTGTGTGTATGGGAAAAAGATCACATAAGAAGTGTGTCTTCGGCTGAAAATTGTGAAGTTTTAACAAATAAAACAAATAACGTAACTCATAAAAACACATTATAACTTATAACTCAATGATCCTAAATAAAAATACAGCTTCATAGTGGTAAAATGTTGAAGTGTGTCACAAGTATAAAACTACAATAAAATAACTAGTAGCGCTTGATACTCTATGACTTTTATAGTCATCATATTGACCCACAAATGCATTTAAAACACTTCTTTTCCCATTAATTACTAATTTTTTAAATTTAACTTATAAAGCCAAAATTTTTATCAAAGTGTAGTTTTATGTGATAAATTGAGTAAGAATAAGATAAGTGTGAGACTACCATGAAAACAACGAATAACACTTGATGATATGCTATGTTTTTTATATTTAGTGAGTCATAAGAGCATCTCAAACACTTTAATTCTAATTAACTATTAATTCATTAAAAGTAACTTATTATAAATCTAAATATGTAACACTTACAACATTTAAATTATCTCATGATTTTAAATCAAATACACGCATTTCACCATATCTGCTCTCTATATATATGAGAAATTAAATTACATTGACGAAACAGTCATATCGTTGACAGGGAATGCTGATGTTGACCATAATAGTATCGTTGCCGCACTTGCATCCTTCACCATGTTCAACTGCTCCTGCAGTGGGCCAGCAGTGCAAAGCTCCGACTCGTTCTCAAATGGGCTTTCTTTTTATTGGGCTGGGCCTTCTATCCATAGGCACTGGAGGGATAAGTCCATGCAGCATCCCATTCGGGGTTGACCAATTTGATGCATCAACAGAAGAAGGCAGAAAGGGAATCAATAGCTTCTTTAACTGGTACACACTAGCATTAAGATTTGACTAATATATATCACATATTCATAGCTAGTTAATACTGGGAGTTTACCAAAATCTCAAATTTGTTATGCTTATTGTCACTATTATTGTCACTATTATTGTCTCCTAAATTTGTTGTATTTATATACAACTATACAAGATAAGTCATACCACGGGCTGAGTCTGGGATGAGCCGAATTTGAACTAAAAATTATACTCCCTTCCTATTTCAATGTTCACTACAATAGGTTTTTTTTCTTCTTTTTTTTAATCACACGAGGTGGGGGTGCCGGGGAACATCTCCCAAATTTATTAATTTAAAGTTGAAAGTACAAGAGAAATAAAGTAAACAGAAAAATTAAATTACATCAGCAATTAAAATTTTTCGAAGGAATTCCAAGTGAAGCAGACATAGATCTGTTATATTTGTTATGGAACTTGATGGCTTTCTGAAGAAAATTTTTGATAATTTTTGCCTTCGGCTTTGATAATTTATAGCGCTTGAGAGCTGCACCTAGTTTTTGTGGGGAGTCGAGCCCCTCGTCGATCGGGTAAAGGAAGTAGTCTGAGTCATCTTGTGAGTAGCGGGATTGACTTTGTGTGACCATGGGGTGTGATGTCCATCCTACATCGTAAAATAATGGAGCTCTTTGCTCTGTGGTAGGGATCTGGTCCATGCTCTTATGTTTGTTTTTTGTCTATTCAAATGTGTATAGCCGTCCGAGCATTCTTCCTCTTCGATAGTTTTAGTAATGTTGTCCTCAGATATGAATCATCATTGGACGGAGGGGGATTAGAACTAAGTTCATCCTTTCCGATAGGGGCCACATATTCATCACTGAGAGGCGAAATGTAATCATTTTCATTCAAGGAGGGTTGAACGACACCGATGGTTGCCGCCTTTTTACAGGTAGCTACCGGGGGTCCAACCGACATTTCAGTCAACGAGTCATGCTGTTAATCTCTGGCAGTGATATCGTCTTACAAGCTTCAAGCACCTCGACATTAACCAGGCAAGAAACTGTTGCATTAGTGACATAATAAGGGACAACAATTGGGTGTGTATGAGCAGGAGCATTATCATCAATGGTAGCAAGAGTATGGTCATTTGGGGTCGCACTAGGGGCATCAAAAACGGGAGAATGGTAAAAAAGGACACTAAAGTTTTTAATGAATCTCAAATTTGACACTCGGGTTTTTAGTGGACCAAATAAACACAAATTTGAACATTTATGTTCATTTTAACCACCCACTAACATTGCTGCTAAACGGCCGTTTTGCAGCTAAAGTGGGGATTGAGAGAGCTTTCCTTCTTTCGGCCTTTACCATTTTTCTACACGTGAAAAAGTCCAACACATTGTCATTCTCCATTGCCAATTTACCATCTTCTTCCATCTTCTTCTTCGTTATTTTCATCATTTTCATCGGCTCTCTCTTCGAGCATACCCATGTCTAGTAATGCTCTGAAGTTCTTCCACAAATTACAAGATCCAACCTTTGAGTCATAGTGCAAACCAAAACCAACTGTTGAGCAAAACCCACAATTTAATTCCCTGGAATGCATAACCAACCAAAAAAATGAATGGGTTAGTTACTGAAATTTTGATGGCATCCTCCAGAAAATTTTGTCAAATTGTTCAGCCTGCCCATCCCCTATTTACTGCTCTGTGGTGGACTGCGTTATTTTCTGAAGCCCCGCTGCTTATCATTCTTGGAACAGTTTCATATGCTTCACTGCTTATCATTCTTGGAATAGCTTCGTATGTCTTTTCCCAGTGCTTGAAACCATTCATAAAGTCGCCGGATTTTTTCCCATTAGTTCCCATTCTTGAAATTTCATTGTCATTTCTAAGGAAGCCGTGTATTCTTCCTGCAACTGCCGTCTTACACAGCTGAATTTGTGTTGTCTTCACCTCCGGAAAGTCACAGTTGCCGCCACAGCCTTGTCTCTCCGGCCAGTCACCATTTTGGATGTCCCGTGCATATCCTTCAGTCGTTTCATGAACTGGCTCGTGCTCCCTCTTCTGCAATTGAGATCGATCCATTCTGTCCCCATTCAGATGGCGCTGTCTTCGGCGATTTCATTAGACCCAGAAGAAAAGGCACGAACAGAAACCCAAACCCAAACCCAAAATCAAGGGTTGCAGAAATGATGATTTGAGGGAGAGAATGGATGGGTAAGCTTGGAAGAATGAGAAGTGGGGCAGAATGGAGGGGTTATCGTGAAGAGTCTAGTGTTCTTTATGAGAATTGACTTAGGGTACAGTGTTTAATCGTAGGCAAAGGGGCATTTTAGCTGGGGAAACGGTGTTGAAACGACAAAGTTAGTGTAGGTGGTTAAAAATGAACGTACGTAAAAGTTCAACTTTGCGTTTATTCGGCCGATCGGTTACGGCCACCGCGGGAAGACCCACGGCCCCGACCGCGATTTGGAGCACGAACATCCAGACGAGGTACGAAGGCAGGAGTACCGGTGTGAACCAGGGCAGTATGGGATGAGGTGTGTTGTTGAGCCTTCCTAGTTTCTTCAAGGAGGAGCATAGAACGGGCTTGTGAATATGGAGGAAGAGGGACAGTTTGATGAATGAGTGAAGCAACCGAATCATAGGCCGGAGGGAGACCATTCACAATACGCAACACCAAGCGTTGATTGTTAACGGGAGATCCAACGTTAGACAATTTTGTGGCCAGGGTCTTGAGAGCCTTGCAATACAAAGCAATATTTGGAAAACCCTCCAACCGGGTATTGGAGCATTCCGTCTCGAGATGAAGCGCCCGAGAGTTTTTGTTGTCAAGAAAAAGATCGGTCAGGCGATCCCAAGCTTCTTTGGCAGTAGAGTCCGGCTCGAGAATAGTGTGCAAAAGATCATGGGAAATAGTCCCATAAATCCATTGTAACACCATGGCATCAAGTCGTTTCCATAGTGCATCGGATTCGGCCTAGGCGGCGGCAAGAACTTGCTCAGGGGTTAGTTCTGGGGTGGTGGAAGTGGAGGCATTCGAGGGAGTTGTTTCAACGGGGAAAATGTGATCTTCAACCTGGTATGCACGGGTTGTGATCTTAAAAAGTTCGATCCAGGAGGAGTATTCCACGTTCTCGAAATCGAGAGTAATAGGAATAAAACTTTTTATATTTGTGAGAGCGAGAGCGGGATGGAAAGAAGGAGATTTGGGGGAAGCCATGGAAGGAAGAATAGACCTTGCGTCTGATACCAAATTAGAGTTTGGAATTCAACGTGCTATTTCATTCATCTTCGTGGTGTATAAATACACATACGTATTACAAAGTAATGTACAGATAAAAGTTAATAACAAACTACCGAGCTAAACTCTCATATCAGGAGAGGCATGCGTGAGCTGTGCATTGTACAACAAAAATTCAAAATAATTTGAATATACAACAATACTAACAATTAATATGGAAGTGATAGCCTAGATGACCGAGTCTCTTGGATGGCATGCATGTGCATGCATGGGACATGCACACGTTAACAAAAACCTTAATGTCATTTTTGGCCCTTTTCCCCATAAAAACAGTAGGGGCCATAACCGGAGCGTCACTGGGGCAGAAACTGCTGCAGTAGTGACAGAAAAAGAGGCAGCAATAAGGTGTGTATCAGCAAGAGCATTATCATCAATGGTAGCAATAGTATGGTTGATAACTGGGATAAAGTTATCAACAGCACAAACTGGGGTATAAAAAACAACACAATCATTAACCTGGCTATCATTTGAGGTCGTACTACGTTTGGGCACATTTTGTAAGGGTAAAATAGTAGGAATAATGAATAGTGTAGAAAAAGTGTGAGAGATGGTAGAAAAGTATGAAATAGAAGATAAAAAGAAGAAAAAGTAAGAGTAATTGAATATTTTTAAAGGAAAAACTTACCTAAAAGGTAAAATGTAGCAAAATTTTAAATACATCCAAAAAAGGAAAGTGCAACAAACATTAGAATATGAAGGGAATATTGTGAAATCTATTTTTCTAAATAAGGTACTTGTATATACTACTCGAATTAAATCCAAATGTAGTTACTTAGGATGTTTATTTTAAACTGCTTTCAATCCCAGACCAAACCAGACCAGATCATACCAGATCAAACTTAAACATATCAGACCAGATCAAATCAGACTTGGATAGTTATAAAATACACAGAGACTAGACATATATCAGACTAGACCAAACTAGTTCAGACCAGACTTAAGCAGACCAAACCAGATCAGACCAAACTAGCAAATTAGTCCAAAAGAAAACATTCTTGCTTGTGAAGCCGTGTATCAATGATTAATCATCGGTTCATTCATCGTTCTAGCAGTAATTAATGTCAACATTTTAATTAATCGTAACTTAGCAACACCTCAACATTAAAAAAGAGATAGGCTAAATGAACAATTAATATTCAATAAAAGAAGTTTAAGAAAACAACTCACAACTTTAACATGCAACAAATTAAAGTTCAAGAGAAAAATCAAGAATAATAAGTTTAGCTCCTCATTTACAGACTAAACATGAAAGACGTATAAAAAATATACTATTCTAGACTGAGAATAGGTGTTTGGAAGCGACGATGCCAGATACCCGACCGATTATATAGGGTACCTGGACGAGCCTCCTTAGCGGTAGCTACGAAGCTTCAGAAATCATGGCATACCCGCTCAGATATGTTGGTAACACCCGATCGGGTATAATATAGCAAATCTTGAGAAATAATATCCTTGCATGTTTAATTGTTCTCTAGATCTAATTTGATACTTGGGCGAGTCAAGTTCATACTCGGTTGGGTATTGCATATACCTGACCGGGTATATGAACACATGCGAAATTTCTTCTTTTGTATTGTTCTCTTGTATCTTCTTTGCTCCTTTGGAGTTAACTCATGATCATTTGAGTGACCCTTGATTGGCTTTTGCTCAGAACGGTCTAATGTAAACAAATTATAACTAACTAGGAAAATAAAAGATTGCACCATAAATGTGCAATTACTACAACATAACATACCAAAACCAACATCATCAAGCTCCCTAATTCTTAGTCATTTTCTCGTTTTAGTAATATATAAGTAAGATTCCCTTATACTAATGCTAATCGGATGAAAGTCAATTTTACAAATTCCTAGTGCAATTTCTTGCATTATTTTGTTACGATTAGATTTATCATGTATTACGTGAGTATTTGAGTTTTTTTGCAGAAATTTTATTAGATTTTATAAGAAAAATAACTCAATATGAATTTCAAGAAGAAAAAAAAGTTAGAGCACGAAAAATGGTTTTATGGATTGTCGTCCAACTCACAACTAACTTTGATTTAAGCATATTTTTTCATTTACAAATCCAATGAAATCATTAAGGTCTCATCGATAGATAACTCAAGTATTTACAAATATTTTGAATACATCATGACTAAAATATATGACTATGTGAGGACGAAGTTGAAATCAAAAGCGGAAGACACGATCAGTGTTAAGTTTTAAGGTGAATATTTTCACCATTTTAGTCATATATTTTGATTGGATAATCCAAATCAAATGATTCAAGTATGATGAATATTAAATGTCATTATTTAAAACTTTTATGAAGCAATCATAGCCACATTCAAAAGGTATAAAATGATACATTTATGAGATTCCTTTTCCATTATTGGGCTCACTTTACTTTCATGGCATATATCCCATCGGATATGTCGGTAACACCCGATCGGGTATATAAAATATAGCAAATCTTGATCAAAAAAATCCTTGCACGTTTAATTGTTCTCTAGATCTAATTTGGTACTCGGGCGAGTCAAATCCATATTCGGTTGGGTATTGCATATACCTGACCGGATATATGAACAAATGAGGAGATTCTTCTTTTGTCTTGTTCTCTTGCACCTTGCTTGTTCCATCGGATTTCACTCATGATCTTTCAAGTGACCCTTGATTGGTTTTTGCTCTGAATAGTCTAATCTAAACATTTTGCAACTAACTAGGAAAATAAAAGATTGCACTGTAAATGTGCAATTACTACAATAACATACGTTAAAACAACATAAAAATACAAAAACCAACATCATTACACTCCCAAATTCTTAGTCGTTTACTCATTTTAGTAATATATAAGTAAGTTTCCCTTATACTAATGCTAATCAGATGAAAGCCGATTTTACATATTCCTAGTGTAATTTGTTGCATTATTTTGTTACTGATGGAGTTCAATCCAACTACGAGAGCTATATCTACGAGAGCAGATGAAATTTGGGCAACGTAAGGCAGTATTATTAATCCGGATTCGGTCATTTGATAGGAAATATACATGAAGTATTTATAGACCTTAGGTACTAGTGTTCTAGGAGGAAACTGATACATTAAATGCTTATTAATCTAATAAGACTCCTGTAACGTCTCGAACGTTGTGCAATGATTGCTTCCCTCAGGTCCACGTTTCTTCCGATTATTCCTGCCTGCTGCCGGATAGCTATGCACGAATGATAGCCTGCCACGTAAGCCCTAGGAAGAGTTCGACCTCACTAGAACTCTGCCCAGACTCGAAGTCTGTTGTCCAACCCGGCTTGGTTATGGGTTCCTTTCGTGGGTTTGATTCCTATTCGGCCTAGTGACTAATTAATGTTAATCCCGTTTATGGGCTGATCCCGTTAAGGGTTAATCCCGTTGAGGGCTTGATCCCGTTAAGGGCTAATCCCGTTGAGGGCTTGATCCCGTTTATGAGCTTTAATTATACTTTACTATTTGGGTCATGGTCATAATCCATGGTACCATCAGTTACGATTAGATTTATCATGTTTTATGTGAGTATTTGAGTTTTTTGCAAAAAGTTTATTCGGTTTTATAAGGAAAATAACTCAATATGGAATTTCAAGAAGAAAAAGAAAAGTTAGGGCACGAAAAATGGCTATATGGAGTGTCGTCCAACTCACAACTTTGAATTAGAATTAGGATGACATTATATCTTTAAGCATATCTTTTTATTTACTAATCCAATGAAATCATTAATTAAGGTCTTATTTGAGAGATAACTCAAGTAGTTACAAGTCTTTGAATACATCATGACTAGAATATATGACTATATGAGGACGAAGGTGAAATCAAAAGCGGAAGGCACAATCATTGTTGAGTTTTAGGATGAATATTTTCACCATGTTAGTCATATCTTTTGATTAAATGATCCAAATCAAATGATTCAAGTTTTGATAGATATTAGATTTCATCATCTACAACTTTTGTGAAGGAATCATAGCCACATTCAAAAGGTATAAAATGATACATTTATCGGATTCTTTTTCGATTATTGAGCTCGATCACTTTACTTTCATATATTACTAGTTCTTTTTAAATTTCAAGGTGGGCCTAAGCCCTACTTGGCCTAAGGGCATATCCACCGGTGACAGCTGCCCCCATTGCCCTCGTACTCGATACGCCCTTGAGCATAACATACCTTCTAAAAGAATAATACTATTGATTATTATGACCGGCTAGAGGGTCCATGAGGTCAAATTAATAACAGGAATATAAGGATCGGACTAACATGATATCTTAATTAATATAGTCGTTTATTAGGTAATATTTTATCGGCGTGAGAAATATTTCAACAACTCAATGTATAACCAACAGGTATTACACCTCGTTCACGGCAGTGCTGATCATTGCTCTGACTGCGGTGGTCTACATTCAAGATTCTGTGAGCTGGGTTCTCGGATTTGGCATCCCGACAGCGCTAATGTTTTGCGGTATTGTGATGTTCTTCATTGGAATGCCACTCTACGTATATGTGAAACCGGAAGGGAGTATATTTTCCAGCATCGCCCGAGTTGGCGTGGCAGCTTATAGGAAACGTCATAAAGTTCACCTTACTCACAATGATGATCAATTTGGGGCCAATGGAATTGTTTATTATGACCCCCCATTGCTCCCCGGCTCTGTCGTCACAAAACTTCCCTTGACTCATAAATACAGGTAATTAATACTATGTGAAAATATCATTTACTCGTATAAAAAATGATACATCTTGTAATCAAAAGACGAGAGTGAAATGCATAAATAGTACCTTAACTATTAGTATTGTTTTAGTACCTTAACTCTTAAATGAATCAGATTACTGCTATAACTATACATATACGTAGTATAAATGTTTCAACTTGCAATTTTATTCAAATTTGCAGCCAAAAATCCTACATGACGATTAAAATTTCATGAGTAGATTCACCTTACAATGATGACATGGACTAAACGAAGGTAAGTTAGACTACGCATAGAACTCCAGCCGCCACGTATGTTATTTTGTTCAGAAATTTGAATAAAATTGCAAGTTGAAATGTTTATGTATAGTTATGGTACTAATTTGATTCATTTACAAGTTGAAGTACCAAAACGCAACAATACCCAATAATTAAAGTGTCATTTATGCATTTCAGTCCCAAAAGACGGATATAGATTTCCTTCTTATTAATTTTGTAATTAAAACTTAAAAATATATGATGGCCAGGTTCTTAAACAAAGCTGCAGTAGTGACGGATGGAGACATAAATTCCGATAACGGTAAATGCACAAACCCATGGAGGCTCACTAGCATTCAACAAATGGAAGAAGTGAAATGCATCCTTAAAGTAATCCCAATATGGCCGGCCGGAATCATATGCTCACTGGCCATAATGCAACAGGGAACATTCACAGTCTCCCAAGCCCTACACATGGACCGCCATCTCGGCCCGCATTTCCAAATCCCGGCTGGATCAATCTTCGTCGTCTCCCTCGTCTCCATTGCCCTATGGGTACCCGTTTATGACCGTGTCCTCATTCCCTACCTCCGAAAGAGGACAGGGAACGAGGGCGGTATCACAATGCTACAAAGGATAGGTATTGGTCTCGGACTATCCAGTATAGCCATGGTGGTTTCTGGATTTGTCGAGACGAAAAGACGGGCCACCGCCATCAGCGGTGGCCCGCCAATTTCCATAGTCTGGTTGTTTCCGCAACTCATAGTGATGGGTCTTGCTGAGGCGTTTACCTTCATCGCCCAGATAGAGTTCTACAATAGGGAGTTCCCTGAGAATTTGATGAGTGTGGGCAATTCTTTGACTTCCGTCACGTGGGGAATCGGAGCATACCTGAGTAGCATGTTGGTGAACTTGGTGCACAAAACCACGGCCGTGGGCGGCCGTCCGGACTGGTTGACTGAGGACATTAATGCTGGCAGAGTGGATTATTACTATTTTGTTATTGCGGCTTTGGGTGGGGTCAGTTTAGTGCATTTTGTGTATATTTCTCGGAGATATGTATACAAGAGTAAAGTCCATATTGATGATGGTGCAAAAGTGTAAAATGCATACATGAATTATGAGTAGATATATATGGAATAAATATACAAGGAGAGTTAGGAGACAAGGAGATGATATACGTATGTTGTAATTAATTAACTATGCAGCGGAATAAAAACGCAATTGGAGTGCTTCACTGCTTCTTCTTTTTTAGTTGGCCCATAATCTCGGCATCTATATAGTAGAGCCGGCTATACGGTGTGAACTGTACAGCCGGTGGCATTTTAGTAATTTACATGAAATTCACGCCTTCTTCTAAATGAGCATTAAAACACGTCTAGTGAGCATCAAACATATTTTGCTGAGCATTAGAAGCCTAACAATGAGCATTGTGATCTCTGCTCCATCTCTTCGAATTTACTTTCTTTTCCTTATTTTTTTCTTTATAAAAGCTTATTAAATTATATCTATAATCAACTCTTATGAACTTCAATATGCAAATTTAATTTAATATGATACGTTTTAAATATGCATTGATATGACATTTTACAAATGAGTATAACATGTAAACCCGTTGAGCATACATAACTTATAAAATGATCATTGGTATGAAAATCATAAGTATTTTTAGTTGAGCATGATGGATATTCATATATATATCAACAAAACTCCGTATGCAATATATATATAAATATATAATAGCTAAATCCATATAAATCCATGAAATCAAAAACATGTATGAACTAAAATTAGAACCATACCTTGAGAATTCATTTGCATTATCACTTTAAGAAGACCCAAGAATCCAAGAAAGCTAGTAGGCTAAACCTTCCAATGCTATGTAGCTTATTAGAGATGTCCTAATCCTATAATAGATGGGATATATATAGGACTAGCTAGTTCAATATTGTAACGGTTGGCCCCTTCAATTCTAATAATAATTCCTTAATATAATAATGATATTATTTAGAATAATTTATTAGGCCATTTTTCGTTACAATATTCATACTGTTATCTCTTAGTTTACACGCATCGGGGGTCATAACCGTTGTATCACTTTAGTGTAATATATTTAATTTGACCCGTCACCAAAAGAAATATATTATCCTGGTATCTACACTTTTATTATTTCATGAATAGCCACTTTATTTTTATTATTTATCTGATGGTAAACACATTTTAATTAATTACATATTAGGCCCCTTTTATTGTTTTCCAACAATCTCCCACTGGGCCTTATATGTAATTCTTGACAAAATGTGTTAACTTTATGAGCTCAAAAATACCATCATATAAAATAACATCCTTAAACAATCTTGTCCATCAGGCATACTAATATAGAACCATTGCAGCATTTTTGTCATGTTAAACATAACTATACCATCAATGATTACTAGTATCAATAGTACATAATGACATAGATCAATCATGAAATGTGTAGCATGAAAATTACATGAAATGTGGCATGTGTATGTAAATTTTCAACTGACCCTTCTTTAATAAACTTTAAACTTTAATAGCTTAATTATTCAGAATACACCAAATGTCAAACTTTATTCTGATCAGAAAATAAATTCATCAAGCAATAGAACATCAAGCATAACTTATGAACTCCCACTAAACTTGAGGTTCCTTAAAATCAATGACTCCCAAGTGAGCAGTATGCTCATGAAAAACTTTTGGTGGGAGACCCTTGGTTAAAGGATCCGCTAGCATGGAGTTTGTACTTATATGTTCAATAGCGACTCTTTTATTCTGAACCCTTTCTTTAATAGCTCGATATTTCACTTCAATGTGTTTTGTCTTGCTCGAGCTCTTGTTGTTGTTAGAGTAAAGCACCGTAGAATTGTTGTCACAAAATATCTTGACAGGCTTCGGAACTTCATTTAATATTCTTAGCCCATCAATAAAATTGTGCATCCATATTCCATGGTTTGAAGCTTCAAAACAGGCCAACAACTCTGCCTCCATAGTTGAGGTAGCTATCATATCTTGCTTAACACTTTTCCAAGATACAACACCACACGCTAGTAGATAAACATAGCCTGAAGTAGATCTACTAGTGTCTTTGCAACCGGCAAAATCAGAGTCGGAGTATCCAATGACCTCCAAATGATCTGATTTTCTATATGTAAGCATATAGTCCCTTGTTCTCTTTAAGTATCTCATAACTCTTTTGGCCGCCACCCAATGAGCCATTCCTGGATTACTGAGATATCTGCCTAGCATCCCAACAATGTACGCAATATCCGGACGCGTACAAACTTGGGCATACATAAGACTTCCTACAACAGATGCGTAGGGAATCTTTTTCATTTCTTGAATTTCCAGATTTGTTTTAGGGCACTGATCGAGACTAAACTTGTCTCCTTTAGAGATAGGGGTATCACACGGTCTACAATCTTCCATGCCAAATCTTTTAAGGACCTTATCGACATAGTTCCTTTGTGATAACCTTAAGATTCCTTGTGATCTCTCACGAAGGATTTCAATTCCTAATACAAAGGAGGCTTCACCAAGATCTTTCATTTCAAAATGTTTTGATAGAAATCTCTTGGTTTCATGCAACATGCCTATGTCATTAGTGGCAAGAAGAATGTCATCAACATATAAGACCAGGAAAAAGATTTTACTCCCACTGAACTTATGATATACACAATCATCTACATCATTCATCTTAAAACCAAATGATAAAATGACTTGATGAAATTTGTGATACCATTGACGAGAAGCCTGTTTTAGCCCATAGATGGATTTTGTTAATTTGCAAACCATTTGTTTTGGATCTCCAATCACAAAATTTTCTGGTTGCACCATATAAATAGTTTCATCAATGTCGCCATTGAGAAACGCTGTCTTAACATCCATCTGATGAAGCTCTAAATTAAAATGTGCAACTAAAGCCATAATGATTCTAAAGGAGTCCTTTGATGAAACCGGAGAAAAGGTCTCTTTATAATCAATTCCTTCTTTTTGAGTATAACCTTTAGCTACAAGACGAGCTTTATATCTCTCCACATTACCCTTTGAATCCCTTTTGGTTTTAAATATCCATTTACAACCAATGGGTTTACAACCTTCGGGTAATGGGACGAGTTCCCAAACTTTATTGTCTTGCATAGATTTATACTCCTCATTCATTGCCACAATCCACTTTTGAGAATTTGAACTTTTTATGGCTTGACGGAAGTTGATTGGATCATCTTCCATAACACCACTTTCTTCCTCATGTTCTTGAATAAACACAAGGACATCGTTCTCTGTATCCATGCTTGACGCATGTTCTTGGAGATATACAACATAATCATCCGGAATTGCGTATCTCCTCTCTCTAGTGGATCGCCGCAATGGCACGTTTTCTTGTTGCACTTGTTCCAGAGGAAGTTGAGTTTGTTCATTTTGAACAATTTGTTCAGTTTGGAAAGGAGGAGATGAAATAATGCCTTGTTGAGGTTCCTCATTAGTTTCAAAAGAAACATCCGTATGAATTGGTTCAGGTATTGAAATCAATTCTTCCTCAAAGACAATATCCCTAACTTTATTCTTCCCCCCAAACTCAACATCCTCGAAAAATATGGCAGTTCCCGTCTCAAAAATATTTTTATCCTCGGGATTATAAAATTTATATCCCCTAGATCGCTCCGAGTAACCAATAAAGTAACTACTAACTGTTTTGGGTTCCAGTTTCTTTTCATGTGGCCTATACGGCTTTGCCTCAGCTGGACAACCCCAAATATGAAAATGCTTTAAACTAGGCCTTTTTCCCGTCCAAAGCTCATAAGGTGTTTTAGTAGTTGCTTTAGTCGGCACTCGATTAAGAATGTAAGCTGCGGTCTTTAATGCCTCACCCCAGAGGGATTCCGGTAAGATAGAATGAGAAATCATACTTCTTACCATTTCTTTAAGGGTTCTATTACGCCTCTCAGCTACACCATTCATGCTAGGTGAACCCGGCATGGTGTATTGAGGGACAATCCCACATTCCTCTAGAAATTTGGCAAAAGGCCCTGGACGTTGTTCACCTGAGCCGTCATACCTACCATAGTATTCACCACCACGGTCGGATTTGACTTTCTTTATGCGTTTGTTGAGTTGATTCTCAACTTCCGCTTTGTAAGATTTAAACACGTCCAAGACTTGAGATTTTTCATGTATAAGAAATAAGTACGCATATCTAGAGTAATCGTCTATGAATGACACAAAATATTGTTGACCATTCCATGAAGGAGTAGGAAATGGCCCACAAATATCCGTGTGTATTAATTCTAAGACATCTGTAGCTCTATATGCACCTTTTTTCTTATTTTTGGTTTGTTTCCCTTTAATGCACTCAATACAAGTATTGAAATCAGAAAAATCAATGGAATTAAGTGTTCCATCGGACACAAGACGTTCAACTCTATTTTTAGAGATGTGACCTAATCGTTTGTGCCATAAAAAACCAGATTGTGCATTATCAGCCTTTCGCTTAGTGCCTCGGGTGTCAACATTCAAAGCATTATTATATGAAGTTATTGTTTCAAGCATGTAAAGATTGTCATATGACATAAAAGAACCAGTCCCCACAATATTTGAATTTAAAGACAAATTAAACCGGAAGTTTCCAAAGGAACAATGATAACCTAATTTGTCCAAATAAGAAACAGAAACCAAATTCCGCCTAAATGACGGAACAATAAAAGTATCTTTCAAATCCAAATAGAAACCGGTAGACAATAACAATCTAAAATGCCCAATAGCCTCCACATGCACTGCTTTGCCATCTCCCACATAGACGCATCTTTCAGCATCATTTGGCTTGCGGTGGCTCAGACATCCCTGCATAGAAATACTGATGTTAGATGTTGAACCGGAGTCTAACCACCAAGTATTTCTAGGCACTGAAGCTAAATTATTTTCAGTACAAACCAAAGCAAGGACCGTACCTTTCTTCACTTTCCATGCGTGATACTTGGTACAATCCTTCTTCATGTGTCCAGACTTCTTACAGAAGAAACAGGTTGTTTCACCTTCCTTATGTTTCATCTGTACTGGACCCTTAGCAGCTTCATTCTTAATGAGAGTTTTCTTCCTCTTTTTACCCTTATCCTTAGAGGTACTAGCCAAGGTGAGCACTTTCTATCTTATTTTGTTTCATCCTCTCTTCCTCTTGCACGCAATATGAAATGAGCTCATTAAG